GAGCAGAAAAATGCAAACGGGAGATGGAGAACTGATGAGGGTGGGGGAAGTGTGAGGGACGTGGAGAGAAATATGTTGTGCATTTGAGCGTGTCGGGAACAATATAGAAACCGAGAAAGAGAAGTAGAGCAAGAGATAGGTTTACCTCAGCCCTTTCCTATCAGTGAGCATGAAAGCAAAGAAAACATGGCGTTAGACACATATTTACACTATTTAATATGCAGAGTAATTGAAGTTCATTATCGTTCACATTAGCAAGTCGCTCATGATCTCCATGGCGTCCTGTTGAAAGCACAGTCCTTCATCCACTCAGCTCAATGCTTTAAGCAGAAACAATCTCATTACTCACACATGTCCTGTCAGACACACATCCACGCCACCCTCTCCCACCACTTACACAATACACACACACACACACTTCAGACTGAATCAGCTCCCAGGTGAATGGTTCAAACCCTCAAGAACAATGAAAGCTTGAATTTTCATAAACCTAATGAAGAGCAGGCCATCAGCAGTCAGCGCGAGGGTCTGTTAGAGTCGCACTAGATAGAATTGGCTATTATGTATGATTATGTTTAGCAATGCTTTATGAACTGTGTTGCTACGAGTTTCCGCTGATGTTCATAGATGAGATTCTGGTGTGGTTTTTAAGGGGGCAGCTATATTATAGAATGTGCATACTAATGATTACACCACTGCTAGGATGTGATGCTAGACATGACATGAACATCGAGGATAATGTCATCTATATGCTTATCGTACTTTTATTCAGCAAGGATGCATTAAATTATTCAAAAGTGACAGTAAAGGCATCTAAAATGTTACAAAAGAGTTCTATTAATTACAAATAAATGCTGTTCTTTTAAACTTTTTATTCATCAAAGAATCCTGAAAAATGTATGCATGCACCAAATCAGCATATTAGAATGATTTCTGAAGGATCATGTGACACTGAAGACTGGAGCAATGATGCTGAAAATTCCACTTTTTCATCACAGGAATAAATTACATTTTAAAATATAAAGTGACGTGACGTGGCCAAGTATGGTTACCCATACTCGGAATTAGTGCTCTGCATTTAACCCATCCTAAGTGCACACACACAGCAGTGAACACACACACACCGTGAACACACATTGTGTAAATGTAATAATCACACAAATTGTAATAATATTTCACAACAAACAAATGCTGCCCAGGTCAGGATAAGAGACTTCTTGTTCTTTCAAAAACATTACAAATTATTGAGACATTGTGCACAAACAAGTTTTTGTCCAATCAGCTACTCTCTACAATGAGATTGTCCCTTCCTTTACTACAAACTGCAACAAATCTTTGCTCATGGCTGACTAGATTTAAAGCCTACTGGCTATTTTCATTTTTTTTTTTTAAAGGACACATCCTTTGATGTGCCTGTCCAAACTTCTGTTTTCAATCAGAATTCCTATCAGTGAGCAGAATTTTTAACAGACTTAATGATGCAGTCACAGATGTGCATATGTCAGCTATTTTACAGCTTCAAAAATTTGATTTTAGAGCTGCTGCCATTTAATAATGAATGTTAGAGATGGTCTGTGACTGATTAAATGCTTTGGACTTTTCTCACCTCATCGTCTTCCATGCCTGTCAGATCCCAGCTGTGCTGTAAACATCGCTGCCTCCTCTTCCAGTGCTCTAGAAACACTGCCGCTAAACACACACACACAATTATCACAAAACGATCTATTATACCACCTTATTTCTTCTCAATATAAATGTACAGTAAACACATAGTTTATCATCAAATGCACATATTCATACAGCTCATACCCCAAAGGGACATAAAGATGGCGAAGCCCACGGTGGTGTGGTTATCAAACAGATAGCTGGCACGTGCCGTACTGCAGATACTGCTCAGCTGCCAGTAATCACACACACGATCACATAGAGGACACATGGTGAAATTAAGATGCTCATCACACATCTCTTGACTGAAAGAGAGAGAGAGAGAAATAAATTATCGATTGTATCATAAAAATTCATGCAATACATAAACATTTATTTTCTTTGAAATTGTTTTTTTTCCCTCGTGCCTCACAAATTTTGGAAAAAATATCAAAACAAAACCTCAAGAAACAACCCCGGAAAAAGGCTTCTTAAAGCAAATAAATCAATGTAATTAAAATACAAATAATCCAAAGTACATATCAGAGTTACGTTGTAACAGTCCATAGTTCTGTTACTATGGATTTAGTAGGTTGTAGTACTACTCCTGTCCTGGTGCGGTGCAACATGACTATAAAAATATCACCCTTCCCATAATTATACAGGACAGGTATGTCAGTGCCATGGTTGACACTGGAAGCACTTTCTCACTGATCCAAGAATCCTTTTGGAAGCAGTTGTGTCCCCAAGAGCAATACCAACCCAGCGAAGGACAATCCTTTCTATTGGCCAATGGACAAAGACAGATGGCTATTGGTACAACCACCTGACCCCAACAGTCCTGCTTATCCCATTCTTGATCGATAAAAGGAACTCATCAGCTTGGTGAAAGAAAATGTAGAACGAGCCCAAGCCAAGCAGAAGCGGTACTATGACCAGCGACGAAAACGGACTCTATTCCAGGTAAGAGATATCGTTTGGGTACGGTCTCATCCCTTATCCAGAGCAAATGATGGTTTTATGGCCAAGCTTTCCGCAAAATGGAAAGGCCCCGCAAAGGTTGTTAAACGCTTAGGCCCGGTTAATTACTCTGTCTCGTTTTTATCTGATCCCACGAATATTGATACTTACCATGTCCAAAATCTCAAGACCTGTCATGGTTATGACAAGTCTTCCAATGAGCAGCGGTGTATGTAACAGTCCATAGTTCTGTTACTATGGTTTTAGTAGGTTGTAGTACTACTCCTGTCCTCTAGGGACTCTAAGTTGCTCTCCTCCTCTAGCTTAAATCCCGGTGAGGTAGTAGAGGAAGAGAGAGATCCGTTTGGTGAAGTGGAAGCATGGTTTTTCTTTTTTCTCCTTCAATGCAGTAGAGTCCAGATTGGGAAATATGTGTTTCAAGCTCAACCATAAGGACTCTTGACTCTTTGTAGTTAATTACTACTAATATGTACAATGGGGATGTGAGGAGCATTTCCACTGTGACACTACTACACAGAAACCTATAGTGGATCTTTTGGGAATATTCGTTACTCAACTACTAAAGCCTTTGTTGGGAAGCACTTGGTGGATGGTTATCGGGTTAGATTCTTGTTTTATGCTCATTGAATCTACGTTGAACATTCTCCAAAGGACAGTTGGGATTCTAAATGGACAATGGTCATATAAGGTTTTTCATTTTTTTCATTCCTTTGGTTTTCTATGATGTTTGCCTTTATGCTTACTGGTTTGTTGATACCACTTTCAAGTCTTTTTTAAATGAGTATGCTGATTTATTTCGCTTTATTTTTCTTTGTCTGTTGTTTTTGCCCGTTCTTAATTTTCAATAATAATCTGGTATAACTCTTCTATCTGTGTTGGTACAAACTTTATTTCTTATCTCGGTTGACATTTGATTGAATAGTATTTTAGGTGCTTATATTAAATGTGGTTGGTGGGCCCCTCCCTTAAAAATTATCATTAGCTGTGCCTTTTTAAAAAGAGGAGGACGGTTATAATGGAAACAAATATCTGCTGCATGGGTTAGTAACTTAAGACTGAATGGAAATTCTTTGTATTTGAAAAATGGTCAAATATTTCATAGCCCAAAGAAACACTGGGTAGAAGTGTGGTGGAGTTATTAATCTCCTCAACAGCAAACCTTACTTACTCATCATGACGATAAATTTCTTTTGTAAAATAGAACTCTGTTATTTGGAGAAACATTTAAAACTGATTGACAAAATTTGTAAAGCTAAATGTTTAGAATAAGGCTCAAAATAAATAAATAAATAAATAAACGTACAGAAACGTTGTTATGCCATTGCAGGAGAGAGTTGTTGATGGTAAACGTAATTTCTGCATGTTTCTCATATGTGCCCACCGTCTCAAACTGTGGAGGATTCACATCAGTGCGCCAGAGCACAACTTTATAACTGATGGCTGGATCATAATTATCATCATATTTCACCTGACGGCCATTGAGTGGAAAATTCAATTTCTTTATCTCTCCAAGAAGCTGTAAGGTGAGTTCAAATAAAAAAGACAAATATTATTATTAATATTATATAATAAAACATTAATATAACATTAAAAAATATTTATTTTGTTTTACTCATTTATTAGATTATACAATATAAATAAATAAATAATGTAAGCAATAAAACATAATGTACAACATGTAGTTTCATAAAAAACTAACTAATATTGATTTTTTAATTAATTAAAACATCAATAATGTATTTGAAATAATGATTCAACTTTGCTTACCATATATGACTTGGTCATTGTATTTTTCTGGCATTCATTGATGTCACACTGCAGAACTTTATGTAATGCATGAGCTATCGTATATATGGCAGCATAGATGCCAAAGGAAAATGTTGGATTCTCGTTTATAATCTCCTCTGCAGTCAGCAATGAGCAGTAATGACAAACTTGATTACATGTCTTACTCTTGACTTTGTAACAGTCCATAGTTCTGTTACTATGGTTTTAGTAGGTTGTAGTACTACTCCTGTCCTCTAGGGACTCTAAGTTGCTCTCCTCCTCTAGCTTAAATCCCGGTGAGGTAGTAGAGGAAGAGAGAGATCTGTTTGGTGAAGTGGAAGCATGGTTTTTCTCCTCCAGTAGTCAATGCAGTAGAGTCCAGATTGGGAAATATGTGTTTCAAGCTCAACCATAAGGACTCTTTAGTATTGGTAGTTAATTACTACTAATATGTACAATGGGGATGTGAGGAGCATTTCCACTGTGACACTACTACACAGAAACCTATAGTGGATCTTTTGGGAATATTCGTTACTCAACTACTAAAGCCTTTGTTGGGAAGCACTTGGTGGATGGTTATCGGGTTAGATTCTTGTTTTATGCTCATTGAACAAGACATCATCAGCATCATTATCATCGTCATCGTACTCTACGTTGAGTTCAACGGACATTCTCCAAAGGACAGTTGGGATTCTAAATGGACAATGGTCATATAAGGTTTTTCATTCCAAAATTCACTTTGGTTTTCTATGATGTTTGCCTTTATGCTTACTGGTTTGTTGATACCACTTTCAAGTCTTCTTTAAATGAGTATGCTGATTTATTTCGCTTTATTTTTCTTTGTCTGTTGTTTTTGCCCGTTCTTAATTTTCAATAATAATCTGGTATAACTCTTCTATCTGTGTTGGTACAAACTTTATTTCTTATCTCGGTTGACATTTGATTGAATAGTTTTTTAGGTGCTTATATTAAATGTGGTTGGTGGGCCCCTCTCTTAAAAATTATCATTAGCTGTACCTTTTAAAAAGAGGAGGACGGTTATAACGTTTGATTTAAAACATTTAGCTTATATTAAGAAAAAAAGACTTTACCTGGGCACATTGGTGTCTACAGTGAGGCAGCCGTACAGAAATACTGCGACTCCTAAAGCCGAGGCTGGAATCAGCAGCTGTGTGTACACTCCCAACCAGGCAAAATACAGGCCAATCTTCTCTCCAAAGTACTTCCTGTTAAATACAGTTAGACGGGTACAGAACTATTATGAATTTGACAAGGTAAACAACACTGAACACCAACACATGCAAAAACGCTGATTTCAAAAGGTGACTGCACGGAATGTGAACCTGGCTGCAATTGAAATTGAATGCCATTCACAAAGCTTCACATATCCTCCACCTCTTGTATATTTATTTATTAAAATATTTTGGCTATTTTGATTGCTTTCAGCAACCAATAAAAGTGGAAGCTACATTTTGCCATATCTGGGTCTGGAGATTTTCCCCATAATCTGCTCAGAAAATATCAGTTTGCAGACTCCATGTGAGCCAACTGATAAGTAATATGTTTACTATAATCTTATATAAACTTTCAAAGACATACTGTCTGCTGTGCTGTACACAGCATGCATGCCATACAGTGGGCACGTATTTCATATTTGTGATATCCAGATGGCATATTAAATTTACCAGATGCAATGCGGCTTCATTGAAGCTTAAAAAAAGCTGGATTTTTGCAAGTTATAGGTCATTTTATAATGTTTTATTATCCTGATAAATGTAAACATCTATGCTTGTTTGATAAGCATTTTGGGATAGGCAGAATTAGATTATTTTTTTCAGGCAGGTGAAAATCTTGAAAATGAAAAGTGACACACCTCTCCTCAACAAGCCATATGATTTAAGGTCGAACTATTTATAGCAGTCCACAAACACACAAACACATCTGACAGTTCTCAGAAAGGAGAACCAGTCAGTAACCATCTGTATACTGAACAACATCTTTCACAGAACCAGATGGTGGTGATCATGTCTGATACCTTATAAGGTCCATTGGCTGATATTTGTAGCAAGCTCCATAATTGGCCCATTCCTCATGCAACATCTGCAATACACAAAACACATTCATTACCGGTTCAGATTTTCAAAACAAACATATTCTTTGTATCTTCTTAGAGACGACACACACAAGTATATCTTACAGTAATAAGCAGCTTATTGTCATTTTATCAATCAAAAGCCTTTCCTAAATGTCACCGTGTGACTTGCTGCCGTTCAGGACTCACCTGTCTGTCATTGCGATTCTCTTTATCTTCTGAGCTGTCAAAGTCTCCCTGCAGCAATGACAACACACAAAGCTCTACCCAAACCACATCACACATTTACACTGAACTAACAGACGAATTACAAATCAGCTGTATTAAACTGAGCAAAATGCATTACTTACATCATGCAGAGGGAAGGCAGAATCATAAACCCCTTTAGCTAGCAGTGATGAAATACCTGAGACAGAAAAGAGAGAAAATTTGAATATCTGTAGTAAAAATATTTCATGAAACATTGTCAGTTAAACAATCCAATTTAAAAGAGTATGGTATATTTGTGGAGTTGGCATCTCCAGGAACATACCCATAGTTTGACAGGTCTGTGTGCAGGCTGTGCGCCTCAGAATTTCATAAACCTATGAAAGAGCATGGACGCAACACAATAATACATTAAAAAATGAATAAACTCAAACATAAATTAATAGAATAGTTCATCCAAAAATGAAAATTATATCTTTTCTTATCTGATAACTATTTCAATATAATGAACATGGACTGTGGTTGTCAAGCTGAAAATGACTAAAAACCACAATAAAGTATTTTAAGCATGGCCCATATGGAATATGCATTTAGTCGTAAGATATATACATTTTGTGTGAGAGAAAGTTGAAGATGTTATTCGCTGAACATTCAGCTCAGTTCTTCTGGGCATGTTCATGTGAGTTCATGAGCTATGTAGTGATGTCTAATTCATAAATTGTTCTTTTTGAGTCAGTTCTTTACAGTGAATAATTTGAATAATTCATTATTGATTCATTCAGCTCACTGACTCAATGATCCGGTCACAAATGTTAAAAGCCTAATGGAAGTGAATACAGACATGTATTTTGTCTGATAATGAATGGCACACAAATGGTATGGTTTAATGATACTTTTATGGTGTTTTTGTGTCATTTTTGAAGCTTTAAATCTCCAGTCCTCTATCCTCAATCTTTCTAACTGTATGAGGAAAAATTACCATTGCATCATTCAGAATTACTCCCTTTGTGTTCCACAGAAAAACGAACCTTTAGAACAACATAATTTGACATAATTTTCATTTCTGGCTGAACTGTTGCTTTAAAATCTGTTCTAATGTGTCCAGATGTGTATAATCATTCGGTTTCGTTTATACCGATACTTACAATTCGACCTCGTATTGCATTGCTGAACAAGCTGTTTTTTGGCTTTATATCAAATCTGCAAAATTAAAGAAAACTAATTAGGCCAGTGTGTGGGCTTGCTATTTGTAAATGCTCTTTTATGACATTCTGGCTGTCTGCGAATGTTGGCACTCACAGGTGTAGCTTGTCTCTGCTGAACGGTTGGGATAGCACCCGTGTGCGTGGGTCTTGGGGCTCCGGTACGCCCGGCTGGAACGGCTGATTGATCTTTGTCCAAAACGTGCTTATTACACCCATGAGCCCCGTCTTCTCTTTCAGCTGATATGTCTGGAAAAACAACCATAACGGAACTGAAATTAAACAGAGATTAATCCATTTATAGCCAGAGCTAAAGAGAGATGAGACACACTAGAAGTTGAGACCAGGGTCAGACGATTTAACACCACAAATGTGGAATGGTAATATCTTGTTTTGGGGGCAAACAAAGCACATGTGGGATGTGGGTCTATATGTCTCAACAGCTAATCCACCATTATCAGATTATATCATTCAATACAACTCACCACCTCAAAGGATAAATCATTCTTTCAGGATGTTGCTCTAAGCCACATCTATAAATGTATGGGAAAACATGACACTAACATTCATCTTAGTATGCAGTCTATATGACAAAACATTTGACAAGTAATCGGCTTGCTGACTGTGTAATCAGATCTTTTTTTTTCTCTGCAGTGTTCAGACTTTGAGAATTGACTTTTGGCATTACAACTGCTCTTAGACCGCGCCAACCCCGAGCACTTACAAAGATCATCATGGAGTCAAAGCTCTTAACACCAAAAACATGACACTGATGGGCTGTGTCAGTGTCCACATTTGTCCATACTTAATATATATATATATGTGTATATACCATGTATAGAGTTTTGGTCATTCAAATTTGCTTTCATGGTTATCGAATGGTGTTAAAAACCTTCCCATTCACTAATACAATGTGAAATATCCTAGCATTTTACCTACACTGCAAATGACCATGAGTTGCAGTGTGACAGCCTGAATCTATCAGAACAGACCAATCAGCCATTAGCTAGAAGCGAGACTTCAGCATCAGTAAAATGGGTTAAACTTAATATTCTACTTTATTTTATTTTCAAGATATTGGTCTAAAAACGAACATGGTATATTTTAGAATAGCAGTTTTTTTTTTTTACATTTCTCAAAAGATGATTTAAAAAGTCTGTGAGGCATCATGAGCTGGCTTTGACAAAATGTCAGAAGTTAAATACAGAAATTTGTAGGAATCAATTCAATCAATCAATTCAATTTATATAAATAAAAGGGTGAAAAAAAAGATAAAAGATAAGTTTTTTTTAAAGAAGTCTCTTATGCTCACATAGGCTACATTTATTTAATCAAAAATACAGTTATATTGTAAAATATTACTACAATTTTAAATAAATATTAACTATATATATTAATATATTTTAAAATGTGATTTTCAGCATCATTAGTTCAGTCTTCAGTGTCACATGATCCTTCAGAAATCATGAAAGTTCAAAAGAACAGAATTTATTTGAAATAGAAGCAGCTGAATGTCTTTACCATCACTTTTGGTCAATTTAATGCATCCTTGCTGAATACAAATTAATATCTTAAAAAAACGGTAATGAATGGGGAAAATAAAGAATAGAATAGATGTGCGATGCAAAAATCGGAACCGTCCTACCGGGAGCTAACTGTCACACTGCTGCTGCTACTGTGACGGAGCAAGGCGCGAAGGAGCGAGGAGACGTAGGGAAATTCTTGAAACAGTCTTTATTAATCCAAACCAAAGCAAAGCACACGTAGCAGAGGGAAAAGACAAACAATACCGGACGCTAGACATGGAAAGACACAGGGCTTAAGTAATGGGACTAATAGAGATAACAAGGGGAACACAGGTGGAATCAACTGAACATAATGAGGACAGGAACGGGAAGACCAAAAATGGGCATAGAGCAGGGCTCCTCAATAGGTGGCCCGCAGGCCACATCCGGCCCGTGAGAGAAAAATGTTTGGCCCGCGCTAATGTCAAATAATGTGGCATGAAAATTCAAACGCAGCATCAGAAAGCGACATTAACTTACATCGTGTCCACACCGGACACGAGCTGCGCGACGCAACAAAAGACAATAGAATCAGCACGATAATCAGTGATGCTGTCTTGGATGCGGCGCGACACGACAAATCCCCGACAGTAAACTGCTGACTCGTTCTATTTATGACGTACTGAAACAAAGTTCAAATGATTTGCAATGCTTTGTCGCGTCCAGTGTAGATGTGACAACAAAAACATGGCGAGTGAGAAGAAAAGAAAAGTGGACACGGAAAATAGATGATAATGTGAATGGACTGAACAGTTTTGAGTGAGTGACTGACTGATACCATCTTTGTTATGGAATACACGTGTTGGTTCACAGTGAGTTCACAGTTTTAACATACCACAAGTTTGCTTTCATTTATTTTCAAGATCTGAGGTAAATATCTATTGTTGCTTTCACTATGGCTATAAAGATCACGCAAAATAATATTCAAACTCCCATTAGACACTTTTAACATTGAATAAAGCATATAATTATTACCTGAGATTATCACGGTCATATTTTGTATGTTATTCCTGCCGCGATGTCACAGAAAATAAAAACCATTTCAAAAATAGAATCCCGTGTCGCTTATTGTCACGTGTCGCTGTCGCGGGTGGTTAGGACAAAAACTACATGGAAAAGATACTTTTTATTGCGTCGTGCCTGGTTGGGACACACGGTGTTACAGTTTGACCCCCACCTCCCACCCGCACAGAGGGAAAGTGGAGAGAAGAGATCCAGTC